AATGCATTTGACTGGCATATCAACTTTTAAAAATTCAATTATGGGCAGGAATTTTTATTAGTGCATAGGAATTAACTCAATCACTGCCTCTAGTAATTTTGATTCATAACAGCTCTACAGGACAATGTAGAGTGCCGCTGTGGGTTCAGATGCTGTAAATCTTTACAGGAACAGACAGCCTCATCTTTCTCCTGCTGAGCACCAAGTGGGGTCAAACTGCTGACCTTCAATTGCAGCCCAGTACTAATCCACTATGCTACCAGGGCTTCTCCTTAAAGTGAGGGTGGTGATTCGGATTTAGTGAATTGAATAGTTGGGGGTTTTAAGAAAGAAGAACATACTAATAGATTTTGTGTGAGGCATTTAAGGGAGATTATAAAATTTATTAACCAATTTTAAACTTTGTAAAACTCTCATTCCTATAAATAGATTTTATCTTTATAGTTCTTATTTGACCAAGACCAGTTATGTGATGTATAATTTTTAGAAACTAATTACACACTAATATTTCTGGTACATTATCGAAACAGGGTTCATGCTCTAAAAGTTTAAAAGACTTGGAATCACGATTACCATGAAAATATAATTATTATAGTGTATATATGAGTATTAGATTGTTTCTTATAAGAAAACATAACTGTATGAAAATAATGATAACTTATCAAGCATTCATGAGGGAGGGGGCAAGAAATGGGGAGCTGATATCAAGGGCTCAAGTGGGAAGAAAATGCTTTGAAAATTATGATGGCAACATATGTGCAAATGAGCTTGACACACTGGATGGATGCATGGATTGTGATAAGAGATCTAAGAGCCCCCATTAAAAAGAATTTTTGAAAAAAAGGAAAGCATAAGATATTGAATGAATTTCGGAGTAAGCCCAAGAGTTTGCCCTACCACTCGGTTTGCTTTTAAAATATTTTTAGCTAAAGCGTTGGCTTACTAGAAAAGAGCTTAAAGTAGATGATTTCAGTTTTTGTACATGTCAGAATATACTATTAATCAGTGAATTTGATTTTTTCTTATAGGAACACACATTAATAGGATCAGCAAATTCCCAAGATATCCAACTGTGTGGAATGGGAATTCTTCCTGAGCATTGCATTATAGACATCACATCAGAAGGCCAGGTTATGCTGACTCCTCAAAAGAACACCAGGTAATGTACCTTGTTTAATGGTGGTGTTAGGTTCTAATTCATAGTGACTGGATGTTCCATAAAATGAAGCATTGCCTGACAATTATGTGCCATCCTCATAATTGTCATTCTTTTTAATCCCATTGTTGGAACCACTGTGTCAGTCCATCTCATTAAGGATCTTTCACTTTTTTGCTGCCCCTCTACCAGGAGTGTTCATCTTCGTCAGGATCTGGTTTCTGCCGATATCCAAAGTGCATGAAGCAAAGTCTAGCCATCCTGACTGCTCAGGAGCCTCCTGACTATACCTCTTCACGACAGATTTGTTTGTTTTTCTAGCAGTTCAGTTTTCTTGGCCAACTCCATTATTCAAAGGCATCAATTCTTCCTCAGGTTCCCTATTTATTGTCCAGTTTTCACATACTTATAAGGTGGTTGAAAATGCAATGGTTTAGGTGAGGCACACCTTAGTCTTCAGAGTGATATCTGTACTCTTGAACACTTTAAAGAGGTTTTGCAACACATAAGCTACAACAATACAACAAACTGACAAAGAATAGTGGGAATGTACTTTGGTTAGTGTTAATGTCATAATTTTACAAAGAAGAAAGTATACTCCTTCAAAGGGCTTAAGGGACATTTGGCTCACTGTCTTTTATGTTAAAGTTCACATAATTAGCTACCGCCCTTTATAATGAACTTTTTAATACCTCCTAAGCTTATCCCTTTCTCTCTGTACTCACTTCCATGGCCTTATCTAGGCTTTCATCAAATCTTGATTGGGATTCTGCCAGTACCCTAATCTTCCTACTGATCTACTCTTTCTTTTTCTCTGCTTCTTGCCGACCCTCTGACATACTAACTGCTCTTTGAGCTTCAAGGTTAAGCTGTGACATTGTGTACTTTGGGGAGTTCCCCGCTCAGTCTGAGTTAAATAACCTTAGTTGGGACTATGATTGCTCCTTATGCGTCCCGTTAGCTTTTAGTGTTGTTTTTCCCATTCACCCAAATAAGTACTACCTAGAAAACGATCTCCTTCCGCACCTCCCTCCCCTCTACTCACCAGTGAATGTTGGTTTCAGTGTGTATACCTATTCTTGTCTTTTTTTTGGTGGGGGGAGGGGGGTTCTGACTTCAAATCCTTAAAAAAAAATAATTTTATTGGGGGCTCATATAACAATCCATACATCAGTTATATCAATTACATTTGTGCATATGTTGCTATTATCATTTTCAAAGCATTTTCTTTCTTTCTTATTATTATTTTAATCATTTCATTGGGGGCTCGTACAACTCTTATCACAATCCATACATACATCCATTGTGTCAAGCACATTTGTACATTTGTTGCCATCATCATTCTCAAAACATTTGCTTTCTGCTTGAGCCCTTGGTATCAGCTCCTCTTTTTTCCCTCCCTCCTCCACCTTCTCACCCTCACAAACCCTTGATAAATTTTAAATTATTGTTATTTTCATATCTTTCACCATCCCCTGTCTCCCTTCACCCGTGTTTCTGTTGTTTACTCCCCTAGGGGTCGGGAATATTCTTGTCTTTTTGTAACAGAGATCATACAGTATTTGTCCATTTATGATTGACTTAACTTTACTCCATATCACATCTGGTTTCATCCATGTTATATCTATTTTTAAGCACCCAGAATTATTATTATTTTTAATCATTTTAAGGAATATCCTGTCTCCTCACCCATGTTTCTGTTGTTCATCACCCTGGATGGGTGGGTGGGTGGGGTGATATTTGTTGATCATTGCAATCAGTTCCCCCTTTCTCCCCGAATCTTCCTTCCCCATACCCTCATGATATTGCTACTCCCATTATTGTTCCTGGGTGTTGGTGTTGGTGTTAATCTGTCCTGGATTCCGTGTGTCAAGAGCTCTTATCTGAAAAAAAAAAAAGAAAAAAGAGCTCTTATCTGTACCAGTGTACATGCTCCGGTCTAGCCAGACATATATGGTAGAACTGGGGTCATGATAGTGGGGAGGGGGGAGAGCATTACAGAACTAGAGGAATATTGTGTTTTGTCAATGCTATACTGCACCCTGGCTGGCTTGTCCCTTCCTTGTGACCCTTCTGTGATGGGATGTCCAATTTTCTAAAGATGGGCTTTGGGTCTCTAATCCACCCCTACCCTTGTTTGCATCAATGTGATTGTTTGCTTTGGGTCTTCTGATACCTGATCCTGTTGACACCTCTTGATCACTGTGTTAATCTGGGTACTCTAGAGAAACAAATCCACAGAAACTCATGTATAAGAGAGAGCTTTATATAAATATTAAGTGTGCATCAAGAAAACATCCCAACTAAGTGCTGCCCAAACCCACAAGTCCAACATTAACCCATATATCCAACACCAATCTACAAAGTCCTCCTCCATCTCAAAAAACACACACTACGACGCTGACT